GGACGGACGTCGACCACCCCGCCGACGGACACCTCGACGGCGACGCTGCCTCTGCTCGCCGTGGTCGGTGAGCTTGCTGATGAGGACGCCAAGGTCTTCCGTCCTCCTTCCCCTCCCCTTGCACCCCCTGCCCCTCCCCTCGTGGCCGACCTGCGTGGGCTGACTCCAATGTCGGCCTCCGGCAATGAGGGGAGCAGTGGGGCGTCGCCTGTGGCGCCGGCCAAGAGCATCGCCGGTGGCCGACGTGACGCCCAGCAAGTCGACATGAGAGTGAAGTCGACGCCAGCAGGAGAGGAGCAGGCCGAGGTAAAGCCGACGGTGGTGAAGTCGGCGAAGGGGGCAGCGGCAAGGCACCAACCGACAGGGGAGCAGGCAGCAGCCAAGTCAACCAAAGAGTAGTCGGCGACAGGTCAGTCGGCAGGGGAGCCGGCCACAGGGGAGAAGTCGGCAGGGACGCCGGCTGTGGTGCAGCAGGATGCTGAGGGCAGTGACGCCGGTGAAGAGGAAACAGAGCAGACGAACGCCGAGGAGTCCACCGACAGCAACGTGGTGGAAGTCGGACCACGGAGGACAGGCCGACTTCGGAGGCCGCCTGACTTCTTCGTCCCAGCTGCCTTCACCACGTTGTACGACGAGGTCGACGACGACCTGCTGTACGACGACGCCGAGGAGGTCGAAGACTTGCCAGAGCTCGACCCCGACATTCACGCCGACCCCGAGCACCGGTGGGACATCTCGACGATGACGGTGAAGGAGGCCTTGGCGAGCTGGAAGGGCAAGGCGGTGAAGGCCGCCATGGAAGAGGAAATCCGCAGCCTCATCAGCATGGGAACTTGGGAGCTGGTCGAACGCCCACCTGGGGTGAACATCATCAAAAACCGGTGGGTGCTGACGACGAAGTACCGTATCGACGACACCGTCGAGCGCGAGAAGGTGAGGCTGGTCGTGAAGGGCTTAACACAGGTGTATGGCGCTGACTACGACAAGACGTACGCGCCGGTGAGCAGCTACGTCACGCTGAGGATCTTCCTCGGCATCGTCGCCGTGGTCAACCTCAACCTGATGCAGCTCGACATGAAGAACGCCTTCCTGCAGAGCAAGCTCGACCGGGTGCTCTACATGTACCAGCCGGACCACTTCAGCGACGGGACCGGCCGGGTGTGTAAGCTGCTGAACAGCCTGTACGGGCTGAAGCAGTCGCCACTGCTGTGGTACAAGGCGCTCAACGACGTTCTGGTCGGCGCTGGGTGGAAGAAGAGCCAGGTCGACGAGGCTCTGTACTTCAAGGTCGGTGACGACAAGGTGGCCTGCTGGGTGCTGGTCTACGTCGACGACCTGCTCGCCGCCAGCAGTAGTGCCGAGATGCTGAAGGAGCTGAAGGAGCTGCTGGAGGCCGCCTTCGAGCTGCGGGAGATCTCGCCGGTGCAGAAGTACCTCGGGCTGGAGATTGTGCGCGACAGGTCGGCGAGGAAGCTGTGGCTCCACCAGCAAGGCTATGCAGACAAGCTTCGTAGGCGTCTTCTCTACGAGGAGCAGACTGGGCGCACCCCGAAGACGCCTGTCTCGGTCGACGCCTATGCCGAACTCACCTTCGAGGACGAAGAGGCACAGGAGCGCCAGGAGGAGGAGTACCGGCAGAAGGTCGGCTTGCTGCAGTTCGCAGCGACAACGACGAGGTCGGACATCGCCTTTGCCTGCAGCAAGCCGGTGATGAGCGACCAGCACTGGCGTGAGGTCGACCGCTGCCTCGCCTACCTCGGCAACACCCGTGACACCGCCCTGTAGTTTGGCGGTGGACTAGAGTCGCTGAAGCTGGTCGGCTACGTGGACGCCGACGACGCCGGCGAAATGCAGAACCGGACGAGCACGGGTGGCTACGCGTTCGTCTACGGAGGGGCCGCAGTCTCCTGCTCGAGCCAGCGCATCAAGTGCGCGACGCTGTCGTCGACCGAGTCGGAGTACGTGGCGGCCACCGAAGCCGGCAAGGAGGGACGTCGCCTTCGCTTCCTTCTTGCAGAGTTCCGGCAGCTGGATGCTGGGAAGCCGTCTGTCCTCCGGGTAGACAACAAGTCGGCCATCACGGTCGCCGAGGGCATGGGGTTGACGCGCAACCTCAAGCACATGGAGCGGCGACAAGCCTGGCTGCAGCACATGGTGAAGCATGGGATGTTTTCGCTGAGGTACATTCCAACCGCTGAGCAGCCAGCCGGCTTCCTGACGAAGGCGCGGCACTACCCGGCCTTCAACCGGTGCTCCGTTGCAATCGGCTAGGTGCGCCTAGTTGACGTGGGCGACGGTGACAACGACGTGCAGAAGTAGGTGCTATGCCCTCTTGCATGGCTGGTGCGGTGACAGGCGTGCTGTGTGTTGGGTGCACGCTGACGAGCTATTCTCCGAGCAGTGGTGCCGTGTGGGCTGGGTGCCCAAGCGTGAATGTAGCATTAGTAGCTCACAGTTCACGATTTCTGAGGTGGGGAAGGATGGCTTGGTCACCTTTTAAAATGTCTCGCCACTAACTGGGTCACGAGGGTGTTGTTTTGGTGCAGCAGAATTCCCCTAACTGTCAACGGCAGTTGTTGTTGGCCCTGTCCTCACTTGGGCGGAGCCGACTTCGTGGTCAGGTGTGAGGAATAAAACCGACCTGCAACAGTGGGGGAGCTGGTCGACGGGTCTGGTCGACCTGCACGGGGGCCACCGCAAGGGCGCCGACTTTGGGAGGGCGCCAACTTCGGCTGGTCGACTGGGGAGGTCGACCAGTAGAGGGCGTCGACTTGGGTGACGTCGACCAGGGGAAGCCGACTTGGTGCTGGTCGACCTGGAGTTGGTCGACCATGTGGGTTGTCGACCTGGAGCTGGTCGACCAAGGGTGTGGTCGACCTGGTGTGGTCGACTGAAGGTGGTCGTCGACTTGGGAGGTCGACGGACACACAGGGAAGCAGCTGGTCGACGTGGTGGTTGCCCGGTCGACCAGGTTACTTGGGTCACGAGGTTCTGCGGAGGAGTGCGACGGTCGCCCAGGTGGTAGTGGCGAGACCGACCTCGGTGGTGGTATCCTGAGGTCAACGTGGCTGGTGGGCGCAGTCGCTAGCGTGGAGTCGAGCTGGACGTCTGCGCTATGCACGTGACAAGGAAAAGTGCACCGACCAGCTGCATGAACCTGCGAAGCAGGTGCACCGGTGTCCTGCGGGTGCAACGCTGTGCAGCCGACTTGCTGCAGCGTTGGCACACCGTGGACTTGCAATGTTAGCAAGCCGCGACTTTGCTCTGCTGGAGCGCGGTCGACCAAGTCGTGCTGGCACGCGGTCGACCGTTGTGCTGCGCTGAAAGTCGACCAGCAGCTTTGCTAGGTCTGATGTAGACTTGCATGCCAATGTTGTTGCTATAATTGTTCTCAACTTTTGCTAGTGAAACTCTTGCGGTTTTGCCCCGTGAATGCACAAGTGCTAGAGAACGACTAAGGAACGAACGCAGAATTCCCTCCTACCCCGTGCCTAGCCCGTAGTCTAGCTCCCGTTGATAGATTTATCTCCGCAGTTACTCTAAGCTAGTCCTTGTGCTAACTTGTCTATTCTAGTTGTTCCTACTATTATCGCAGTGCGAACAATCTTGCGTGTCCCCCGTTTAATTTCGTGACCAGGCGGGCTCGCAGTTGGCCAGCGAAACATTGTTTCGAAATGTTCGCGCGACTTTAATTTTGACGGCCCCGATCCGATTATTATGTTTCGCGCCGTATAAAACAAACGGTTTGGATCAGCCCGTTCAAACGGTGCGTCAAGTAAGTCGCCACGTGTGATGATCGAGTGATTCCTCAGGCTCGATCAGTCACCAATGTCCAGAACGCAAGTAACAGCGCTCGCCACCGAGTCAGCGCTTGAACCGCAATCAGGTAACCTTTGAGCCGAACCCATGTGGTGCGAGCAGCTGTTCGGTTTGGAACAGAAATGAGCACGCATCGCGAACAGCAGCCAATCAGCTATCTTCGAAACTGGAGGAAATGACGAACCGCCATGTTTTCTTGTTTTCGATTCTAATCGGCACTGGTTTTGACCGCACACCGCTCTGAGGTCTCGTCCAATTCCCACGGGCATTTTATTTTCTAAAAACAGTTTTACAAGTGCAAAAAAAAAAAAAAAAAAACCCTCTAGGGAAAGGCATGGGTACAGGGGACGTATCAACCCTACATACCTTGCCACATTGTGTTTAGGGTTGATGGCGCCCAAGTTTACATGTATTTTCCGAGAGGGTAATATATTTGTTGCCCCTGAAAATAACCTACAATGTGCGTTAAAGCCAACAAACTGCCCGTGAGAATTGGGCGCGATCGCGGAGCGATGCGCAGTCAAAACCACTGCCCATTGGAATCGGAAACAAGAAATCACGGCGGTTCGTCATTTCCTCTCGAAACTGGCAGCGCCAGCAGTTGCTCGTTCGAGCGCTTGAGCGGCTGCCACCTCGAACAAAGTAGCTGCATGAGCAGCAAATTCGCGCCGCGAGCATGTTCCGATTTCCACCACTGCACTCGAAGTCAATCTTGACTTTTGAGCAGCTTTTCCGGCTCCCGCTGGTCGAGGTGAAGAGTCAATCTGTTGACTTTGCTGTAACAGTAGATGATTCGCCTTCCCACTAAGAACTCCTCCTTTGTAGCACTCAACCAAGAAAAATGGCAGATTGATATACAGAATATAAATTATGTATTAACACGTTTTTGACCCATTTTATCAGTCAAAATTATGTCAAAATGTGCACCCGCTGGAAGGTGCATGCGCTTATATTGTTGACTCGATTAGAAGTGCACCCACTGAAAATAGTGTTTTATCTGTAAGCGCAGGTGCGCTTCTATCCGAGGTAACACAGTATTTTGAATGTGCGAGAGCAACACACGCTCCTCCACTTGGCGATTGTACCACGACATTAGCTAGCAAGATAAGCATTACATTAGAAGTGCTCGAATAGAAAAAAGTGATACAGAACTTGTTCGATCCATTACCGTACACGCCCGATTATATATAAACACTCTTAACAATAGACGATGCACTCTTCATCTCGTTGGCTTGCTCGTCCACCTTGATCGCAGCACTTGGCACCTCTGTCCCCACCACTTCATTCCTGACCGCAAGCAGCTCACTGGCAACATATGACATGCTGGGCCGGCTTGCAGTGCGCTCGACGGTGCAGGAGTGGGCCAGCTGGGCCAGGCGCAGCACAGCATCATCCGGGGCGTCCATGCTCAGATCGTTGAGGGGTGCCGAGTTGTCGGAGGAAAGGCAATCCTCCTCCTGACGGGTTGGAGAAGGGGTGTCCATGCCAAAGTCCTTGAGGCGGGCCGGGGTGTGGGAGGAGATGAAAGCCTTCACCTGCAGGCAGCACAGCGATGTGAGTGAGGGTTAGTGACACATGCAGTGATGTGATATATATGCAGGGGCGCTTATGCAGAGGTCCTTGAGGGGGGCCGGTGTGCCGGACCAGAGGAGATGCACCTGAAGGCTCGAACGTGTGGCAGGCAAGAGGAAGCCGAGCAGACGCAAGACTGGTTGATGAATTAGACACAATTGAAGATTGACATAGTAAACATGACACATGTCAATATTGGTTGGCATGGTGAACACGATACGCTTTAAGGATGACAAGTGAATACGAGACAGTGCAAGGCTGACGTTTAACAGGTTAGAAAATAGTAATTCGTATCATTGTGTGCAACAGCGCTGACAGCATTGCCACTTGCCGGTGGTGGATGTGCAGAATTGGTGCATAGGGTGCCATGTGCAGCGTTAGTACATCTCACGAGATCATAGCACTCACCCATAACACGATGTGATTGCTCTCCCCATCAACCATATAAAGCGGGCACGTCTGCTTCAAGAGCACCACGAGCATGAGCACACCGAAGCTGCAAAAGTGGAGGGCGAGAAATTGATTTAAAACAGCAAGGGAGGTGTTGTTGCACGATTACTTCAATTGAAACGTTACCCCTTTCGGTAGACTTGCTGCACTGCCTGCGTTCATTTAATACCCGTTCAGCAGTTGAGACGTCATCACATGATGTGCTGCAGCAGTTGAGTTGAGACATCATCACGTGCTCACCTATAGATGTCAGTGGCACTGGTCGCTTTTGCCGTGCGGAAGTAGATGGGATCCACATAGCCCGGTGTGCCCATCACTCGAGTCGTGCCCACAGTGGAACCTTCTTCTAACCTCACAAGCCCAAAATCCGCAATCTTGGCCTGATGGATGGTACAGCCACAACGATGAAAGCAAGCCTCGTCCAGGGAAAGTGGGGATATACTCGATGTTTTAGACTGGCCAACCTAAGTCCACGGTGCATTGTTCCTATGGAAAGAATGGTAAATCTCCTCAACTCCTCTAGTTTAAGTGACGCATGCTGCACCTTAGTTTCACTGGACTTCCTGAGTGAACGTTCTAGACAGAATTTGAAAGAACCCTGTCAGATCATCACCCTCCGTTGTAACCTGCATCTATCGCATAGGCCTTCGTTGGAGATAGATACCCAAACTGAGTTTGGGAGTACAACTAAGGCTAACCCTACTTGGGGGGGTTGGTTGGAACCCAACCTTGGCCCAACCATTTGTCCCCCAAAGTTGGATTGGGAGATTATAGGCCCCCCCAATAATTGGAGATTAATCCACATATTCTCACACACCCTTGACTCACTGGAGCCTGAAATGTGACCCTTCTGAGGATAACTTACAAGCAGAGTAATTATCCTTCATTCGTTGCTGACATGTTTGGCTTACCATTTGTAGGTTTATCCAATGAGACCTTTCAAATGTTCCATTGTGACCATTTCGAATGTCTGAATGACTAATAACACGAACATGAATGATGATATTCTTACTGCATTATGTAGCTTCACAATGAATAAGATGAAGTGTGACTCTGGATAAGGCATTGGCCGCAGCAATAATAAGCTTGCCTGCATGTCTGGTGCGAGGATGATGTTGGCGGGTTTGATGTCGCGATGCACAAGGCCAAAGCTGTGGAGGTACTCCAAGCCACGTGCCACACCAATGAGGATGTCCATCCGCTGCTTGAATGTGAGGCTAGAGGGTGCGTCTGTAAAGGTAAAAGGAAAAAAAAGTGAGCCTTCAGACACCTGGAGACTAATAAGAAGGAAAAAAAAAGGATGGCTCGTGAAAGGGAAACTACCTGTAATGATCCACGACTCAAGGTCCCCATTTGGAAGAAACTCGTAGATCAAGACTTGCTCTGGCCGTGTCCTCATGTCCCCTCCAACAGAAAAACCAAGAAGTCGCACGATGTTTGGATGATTTTTGTCAACCATTTGTCGCACCTGCGAGAAAACCATATCATTGTGGTGTGGATCGACAGCTTTCAATTGCTTGACTGACTGCGTGTGAAAGCCAGATGCAGGCATGCATGTATTTAGAATAACGGAGAGGTGCCTTGCTGTCATGAGAGCAATACTTGAAACACACCCAAAGCACGCCCCCAAGCATGCCATTGCCCACCTCCCGCTGGAAGTCAGCGTCAAGCAGCTTGGCTCGCTTGACGGCCCACAGGGTGGTGCCATCGCGCGGAGACACGCCCTTGTACACGTCACCAAAGGCGCCCGACCTCAGCTGGTTGTCACTCGCCCAGTTGCTGGTGGCTGTGAGCACTTCCTCCAGGGAGTACTCTGTGCAGTGCGAGGCTGCACGGAGAGAAAATGAGAAGGGGTGTAAGAACTTGAGGTAGAATTGATACACTAAATAATGAGCTTAAGGCTATGGGCAAGTCTGAATGGGTATGAAATCGAGACAATGCTCAATGAGATCGGCCGAAAACTTCTATTGGTGGGTTGGAGATTTTAGTTGATCACATTTTGTTAAGGTTGGGAGGGGGTGAGGGAGGTAGGGGAGAATGATTGCTACCTTTGAAACTCGGTGGTAAGACATCCTTGCTCTCCTCAACTGCTGTAGCTGCTTCTTCTGATATTTCGTTCCTGCGACCCCTCCACCAAAGGAGCACACCGATCAACAGCAGCAGCAGGGAAGCCACAGCAGCCACGGCAATGCCAGCAATGGCTGCTGCTGACAGGCCGGCAGTCTGGGAGGTGGACGTTGCAAGCGAGGGAGGGGATGTTGGGGAGGCAGTGAGGGGAAATGGGGATGCTGTTTTGCTCCCTGGAGTTGGGGAGGGGGGCGCTGGAGAGGGCAAGAGGCGGGATGGTGAGAAAGAGGTGAAGGGGTGGGCGGGGAAGGGATGGAGTGAGTAGGAAGGAAAGCATGCATTGAGGAGCGCAGTTTCATATCAGGCCGGCACACAAATCGTGTGTCAATTGAACATGAGTAGTAGTGTTGACGCAGCTGTGCTGCTGATAATGAAGTGACTCCTGTTGACTATGTGTTTGGTGAAAGCACGCACACATGACGCATGTTCGGACCCAAAGCATGGAAGACAAAGCATGGATGAAAGGTCGCTCCATGCAACTCACATGCTGCTGCTGCCTTGACACAAGTGGTGCAAAAGGAGGTGCACATCCGGCAGAAAGCACTTTGCGGATCTTGTTTGACAACACACTGGGTGAAGTCTGGAGGGCATGTCACTGGGGGGCGATCCACATTCCTGCATGCGTAGGAAGGAGGAATTGCAGTACAGAATCACAGGACTGAACTAGGTGAAATAAAGTGCATTTCAGTTTTAGCACAATGAAGATGGAGTGCAAGGGCTGGTTCATGAGGCTCACATTTCAACTGTATGGAACGTGAAAACAAAACTTATACCTCTCACGATTTTTTGCTGACAGAGTTGCCATGTTGCTTAAGGGCATTGCAACTTCCCAAAAGTTGACAAGTCTCAAACTCCTTACCAACTCCCATTGGCAAAGGTGTCTCAAACTCCTTACCAACTCCCATTGGCAAAGGTGCTGAGATCTACCACAAGTGGCCATGTTGCCACATCTGAAAAGCATACAGCTAGTCTTCAAGTATTTGTGAAGTATTTGTCGTCATAGTGTTGATGGGGTTGTAGCTTGTTCAAATCGCATAGAGTTGAAAACCGCAACATTCCTTTACCCACGATATCTTCAACTCCAAGTGTCTGCACCCAGTTCAGTTCTGTGTGAATTCGCCTCTTTCCATATGTGAGCTTGTATTCCTACCTTTCCTGGTCCACCATATTTACATAGCGTATTGAGAGCGCCACCCATTGATTCTTCAATTGTCCATTTTGCATTGGTAACTTAAAGTCTCTAGCCATTCTACATAGGTTGCTGTTTAAGATCTCGTGTAGCGGATAGTAGATTCTAGGCTATTATTCTTCTGTTTTTCCCCAAGATGCTGTGTCTTCAGATCAGGTCCGTCTATTGCGCTTGGTTGCCTTGCACTCCAGATCCCATTAAATCAGGGGCCCTACTAGTTGCATGCCAAGTGCACACGATCCCAGGTCTAAATCAGATCCCAGTTTCAACATATAAATGACAGTGAGTCCATTTGAAGGCCTAAGCGTATTTTCAAACAGCAACACACAGTTCACTACCACACCTGCAAACGCAAAGCTTTCAATTTGAGGCAAACCCCATTCATGCCCATATTGAGCAAGCGGGGTTCAGCTGTGGCTCCAATTTGACGTGGCACTCACAAGACACGAAGGTTGGTGAGATTGCCAAACGAAGCCGGAACGTTGCCCATGAAGCTATTTCTGCTAAGGTCCCTAAGGAGAGAACGATGAATAACACGCATATGGCAAGAAAAAGAGGATAATACATTACATTGTAAATCTATGACACTTGATAAGCATGAAAACATGGACCATTTGCAAATCTAATGCTGTCGTCATAGTCTTGTGTCCCATGTGACCCCCTGCCTGCCGTCTTCGACCGTCTCCACCCGTGCAATGGATCCATTTGTTCCCAAACCAAACCATTAGCACTCAGATTGCTTGGGGGAATACTTGCTTTTGTAACACACAGTCAGTGAGTACCTATGTTGGATAATTGCCGCAAAATAGATTTTGCCATCACATCATTAAGCGTAATCTAATCATTAAGCATAATGATCCAACATAGGAAAAGGCAAATTTTAAGGTGCGGCAATGGAATATCTGGGGGATTACGATAACATACAAGGATAAGGTGTTACAATGATTATGAATCCAAGAAGGTCAGTGAAACGTGAGTTATGTCAGCCTAAGAAACGATATGAGAAAATAAGCCCTTCCCAACCAGTGGCGCACTCACAATGCGGTCAGCGTTTTTAGGCTGCCTAACGACGGTGTTATTGCGCCAGCCAGCCCGTTCTTCCCGAAATTTCTGCAATTGATATGAATAGGAGTCCAAACGCAAGGCACAAATTTTGCGAGATTTGGGTCGACGACGGGTCGCCCAAACCCGACAAAAAGGAACGAAACTCGGGTCTCGGGTCGACCCGACCCGAGCCGGGAGCGCTACAGGCCGACCCGACTGTTGGAATATATGTATCCCATCATATACATTGCCTTCAGCATAGATTGTAGTAGTGTACATAACTTTATCCAACTGTTGGTGGTAAACCACATTTACGTACCCCTTACTTGTATATCTTGAGCCCGTGCCCTCTCTAAGGCAATCCTTCCTTCCCAAACTTTCAAGCTCTCTTAAATCGGTGTCTCAACTTTAACATCGACACCCCCGGGTCAGGGGCTTTGCACCTACGAGTCTGCGACCCGACCTGAAAAGCGAGGAGTATGATCGTGTCTAGCCAGCATATACAGGCCGATCAAAGTCGCATTGTCTCGTGCTATTTGGGCTCGGGCCAACCCATTCATGTCTTGGTTTTGCACCTGCGACCCGACCCAGCCTACCTGACCCGAGCGTCGCATATGATCATGTCTAGCCAGCCCTGAGAAACCAATCAAAGTCAGATCGCCTCGTGCCATTTCAGCGGTGGCTCGATGGCCGTAAACTGGGCTCGGGCCAAGCCAATCATAATGGCGTGGCTTGCATGCCACAGAGAGTTTAGCCTGCCAGGGCTGTTCCGGCAGCCCTTTCACCTAGGGTTGAGCACGAACCGAACCCAAACAGTTTGGTCGATTTTTTTTTTTCTTTCTTTCTTTACTTTTAACCGAACCAGACCGAACAAGTTTGGTCAAACTAAAAAAAAAAAAAAAAAAAAAAAAAAACCGAGGTTTGCCTGTACTATGGCGAACCGTAAAAGTTCGTTCGGCCGAACCTTTCAAGGTTTGGCCGAACTCAAACTAAGTTTGGCTCGAATGTTCGTTCCATTATAGTGGGGCTTGGGGTTTGGCCCCTCGTGGGGCTCTCTAATGGCCCCATCAGCTGGCTGGCCACCGTTTGCCACAAATGTATATGGCTTACACTCTGTCCAGAAAACCGTTTTTCAGCTAAGGAAAACGGAATGCCCTGCATTGCCTTTAAAAGAGCTGTTTAGGGCAGATACGATCCAGGTCTTAGTAAAGCTATGATGCAACTAATGAGGGAAGGTGTTCTTTGTTGTCTAAACTAGAAGTTTGATGGGAGGGGGAGGGTGCCGTAGTTGGAATACATCTGGAGTTGACTGCCACATGAAGTGGCAGATAGGCATGTGCCTGGCCGGGTCAGGTCGGGTCGAGCCGGCCCGACCGGGGTTTCTTCCCGGGTCGGGCCGACCCGTGGCCCAATTCCTGAATCGGGTCAGGTCGGGTCGGGTTCTGACCCGATATTGACCCGGCCCGGAATCGGGTAATTTATGTAGAAATCAAGTCGGGCCTCCCTACTAGGAACTATACTAGTCGTCAAACAGGACATGGAGGGTACTATTTGGCTCAAAGGCTGAGCTCAATGTTGAAATGTGTAAACTGATTCGGGAGGCTGGATCTTGTAGATCCAGTGCGGTGACAAGTGGTAAAAAGTGGCAAGTTGGTTGGATTTTTTGTTTTATCAAATTTGGTCGGGTGTAGCTTGTCTTCACTTCACAGGCTATAGAGAGCTTCAGGCTTACGTTCAACAAAGACATACCATATGCGCGAATTAGCATATTTGCATCCACCAATATATCCACGGTGAAAAATGTGCCATCCAATTATTGACACTGGTTGTGGCATACAAGAATCACCACTCACTCACACAGAAAGAAGATTTGTAAGTTCACTAATGGAGTCAGGGATTGTGCCTAGCAAGCCGTTGTAGCCAAGATCTCTGATGAGGGGAGAAAGGTGGAGGGTACGCATGACGCAAGAATGTTTTACGACGAGCTACAAATGCTCGCACATAAGTTTACCTTGCCGTGCCGAGGAACGTATCGACAATGTTCGCGTGCAAAATCAATAATGACGTGGACAGTATATCAATGTTGCGACGAATGTTCGCGCGCAAAATCAATAATGACGTGGACCGAAAATCTACTATGTAAGTCTTCCGAATGTTTCATTCCTCCTACTACGCATGCATGATCATCTAGACTGCCCCAGGGGCCAGGGCTGACCCATCAGCTCTTAAGAGAAGGCAAAGTTGACTGCACAGGCAGGCCCATGATGGACAGTCTTTTTACAAGTATACTACACACCTACCATAACGCACAATAGCGGAGCATATGACTTTTGAGATCAACACAGCAACGAGAAAAGCACGACCGTGGCAGCACTGGGATCAAAGCCACCCAGTCTGATTCTGATTGTTATGTTCAGCAGTGAGAAAACAACATATTCGTACAAACGAAATTTAACATATTTTCTTTGATTGATGTCGATAGCGATCATAATACCTGCATCCCCTCAACTGCCATATTGTTGTGAGCGCGTTCCATTGTGACCGATGTATGTCGTTCCATCCAATCGCAGAGTAAGCTTGTCGACCAACAACGGTGCCGTGTGCATGTGCCTCGCTTGGATAGACGTAAGATAAGCAGTCCCTCACGTCACGCATTTGCATGTAGAGATGAAAATACGACACGCAATGCCACAATACTCACAAGTATCTAAGGCTTCTCATGCGACCAATAGCGGTTGGAATGTTTCCACTTATGCCACTCATATAGAGATCCCTGGTGGGATGCCAGAAGACGTCAAGGAAGGAGCAGAAGAACAGGAGGAAGTCAAGATGGGAAATTAGTCGAGAGTATGAGTAGTAGTAGCGTGTGCAACGACCAAGCCAAAGACGTCTCAAAACACTCGTCCGCCTTGCCATTTCGAGACGTCTCAAAACACTCGTCCACCTTGCCATTTCGAGACGTCTCAAAACACTCGTCCACGTTGCCATTTTGAGACGTCTCAAAACACTCGTCCACCTTGCCATTTCGGGAC